ATCAGTTCTCCTGGAGACAATGGCTGCTTTGGCCAGTGGACCCTATGGCATTATACCCTGCTGAGGTCCCTCCCCACCCCAAACCCTGTCCTCCCCAGGCTCTACCCCTCAAATGTACAGGAATTTCCCAACTCAGAGTTGGCAACTGTGTGACTGGCTATGGAACCACTTTCCAGACCCTTGGAACCCAGAACACATGGCATAGGAGGTGCTTTTCTACCTTAGCTGTGACTGCATAGCCCCAAATTGACATAAGCCAATCTCGAGGTGGCACCTGGAGATCTCCAGCTATTGCAACTATGGCATAGAAGGAGATGGTTTTCTACCTTAGCTGCAACTAGGTAAAGGTAAAGGTTTCCCTTGCTCAAAAGCCAGTCGAATCCGACTCTAAGGATGCGGTGCTCATGAGGCTGTCCTCTCATACTACCCACAATGAGCCCTTGTATACTGTGAGACTGCAGCTTAGAACACCAGCAGGAGTGTGCTATAAAAAGGAATTACATTGCACGTGGCCTTGAGTTTGAAAGGTAAAGGTTTCCCTTGCTTGAAAGCCAGTTGATTCCGACTCTAGGGATGCGGTGCTCATCTCTGTTTCCAAGCTGAAGAGCCAGTGCTGTCCATAGACATTTTCATGGTCATATGGCCGGCATGACTAGATGCCAAGGCACACGGAATGCTGTTTCCTTCCCACCAAAGCGGTACCTATTTATCTACTTGCAGTTTCTTGCTTTCAAACTGCTGGATTGGCAGGAGCTGGGACCAGAGATGGGAGCTCACTCCGTCATGTGGCAAATTAACATAAATCAGGGGTGGAGGGAACCATACCTGTTACAATGAGGCTGTCCTCCCATACTACCCACTTGGGGCAGCAAAATGACTTGAGACACCCCTGCCTTATATTTATTTATTATTTCCACTTACTATACCGCCCATACCCCTAAGGGTCTCTGGGCGGTTTACAGGATAGTTCTATGAACTATAGTACCCTATCTAAGGCCACATACTGTAGGGGATGGGGGTTCCCTACCGGCACCCTGTCCGCTGCGTCTTCTCTCCGGCTCGGCTTCCTCCCTCTTGGCGGCTTTTCCCCCTGACATCTTTGTCCCACTAGCTAAGCAGAAGGGGGAAAAAATGGCTTGCCTCCCTCTATTTTCCCCTTCCCTCTGCCACCTCACCAGCCACAGCCGGGACATTCACCTAGGGCTTCCTTCTAGAGACAGTTGTATTTCTTCCCACAACAGGCCTTACTCCTAGTCTGTAATAAAATGAGATTAGGCACGTATATGAGGAACTGATCTGTCAATGGGTTTATGAGCATGATGGCTAAATGGGACATCCATGTTTAAGGGTTGTGTATTACTGAATACCACTTGCTCGGGCAGGGAGAGGGTATTGCTGCCTTGCCCTGTTTGTGGACTTGCTGATTTTTTCAGGTAATAAGAAACCTAAATATTTACAAAAACAGGTGGCATTTTAGAAAAAGCCTTCCTTTCTCATGCAAGATGGGAACACCTTTGCTAAGATGATGCCTGTTATTATTGCGTATCACCAATGTGTGCCTTTGTCTTCAAAAGCAATGCAAATTTAAAACAATTACTCAGCTGAAATTCATGATTAAATCAGAAAAGTCTTAATTAATTGGGTGATGGCCCCATTTGCAATAGATGCGTGGGGAAGAAGAGCCCAGAGGCTTGGCAAGGTGGTTGGAGAGGTTGAGCAGGCCAGATGTGTCTGACTGTTCAGAGGACCACAATTGTGAGTCTTTGCAGTGGTACAAAGCCCCAAGGGCTCAGGTATGCAACCTCCTGTATTGCACCAACACGGGAGGGTGAGCCTGGTTCTGACTCTTGTCCAGGCACACTTCCAGGTGGAGCTCACGGATGGGCTGATATCTCACTTAAATGGCTCACTGGCTGCCAATGGGCTTACTTCTCTGCTATACTACTTAGTGAGACGTCCATATGCAAAATATAGTATTGAAGCACAGAAAGGCCAGATTTGGAACCACACACAGGGCTAGCAGTGTTACACAAAGCAAGCCAATGTTGTTCTGCAGGTGGAAAAACCCAAAGCCTTGGGGCTGATTTGCAGTGGTTGGGACTGTGTGCTTGAGGGTTCACTGTGCTCAATTTAAATGTGCTGATTTTTCTTCCAGAGCCCCAGTTCTGGTTGCCCTCGCTCTCATTGAATGTGGAATGAAGTACGAGGATGCTGTGCAGTTCATAAGGCAGTAAGTCAAGGAGACCAGTCTCTATCTACCCAGCATGCCAGCCTTTCTCTCTTTCTATAGACTTCTTTTAATTGAGCTATCCTCTGTGTGATGAGTCTGTGTAGCTGCTGCTGCTTCCTCATAGCCTTGCTGGGCCTGGGAAGGGTGCTGTATGATGAGAGTGGGCCTGACTTTTAACTTGCTTGTGAGACACTCAATCATGCAAGCATACTAGAGAGAACACACACACACACACCCTTGCCTTATTGGGAAGTTGCTGCTTCTTCTGAATCAAAGGTACCTGTGGCCTCTCTGGGGCATCTCATTCCTGTTGAGCTCTGGGGCTGTTCCACTCTCTCCGGTTCAGCTAGGAGAAAGTCTTTCCAAGTGAATCTGGACATGCTGGGCTACCCCTTCCTGATAGACCCCAGTTGTCTTGCTTTTTAACAGAAGAGGCAGGCTACATTGTGCTTCTTATTGTGCTTTTTATCCACGTTCTTCAGCCTCCATAACATTATTTACTATGACACTTTTAAAATCCTGCCTTTCCTCAAAGGAGCATAAGTTGACATATCCAGTCTCTGGAGACAGGCTAAACCGAGAGTGTGACTGTTCTCCCAGGTTACCTAGTGAGCTTCATTGTTAAGCACAGATTTGAACTTGAATTTCCCAACTGTGAACGCCATCTCTGTCTCCTCTAAGTTGACAGATTGGGTATAAACGTTTTATTTCCTTCGTTTATACTCCACCTGTCTTTCCAGTTGGAACCTGAAGCAGCTTACATCATTTTCTTCTCCTTTATTTCATCCTCACAACAACCCTGTAAGGTAGTTCAGGCTGACTGTGTGCAGCTGACCCAAGGCCACCTAGAAAGCTTCCATGGCAGAGCAGGGATTTGAACCTGGCTCTCTCAAATCCTAGTCTGGTGTTCCAGCCGCTACAACTCCACTGGCCCTCATCTGCTCCTCTGCCTTGGGTGATTAGCAGGTGAGAGTAAGGATGTAAAATTTTCAGAAATTTTGAAGCCACAAGGAAAACTTGCTCAGTTGCTAGGGGAATGATAGAAATTTGGGGAACAGTTGAAACAATGCTGTACTTATCAAGTCTTAATTTTATTTTTCTGCTCCTGAGCAAAAAAGGCTCTGTCTTGCTGCTCTTGTGAAGATGGTAGAACCATCACGGTGCAGAAATGTGGCTTGAATTTGCTTTTTGTACTGTTTGTAAATATAGAGTGGTGGTCACTGTTTAATGACCCCTAAATTGTCATACATACAAATCTTATTATTCATTTCAAGTAAGTAAAACTGTCTTAAAACATTTTACTCCAAAACAGAAAATAATTCATAGGATTTTTATTGTTCCCCTAGATTTTAATTTTTCTAATAGAAAAATGTCCTGGGGAGTAGGATTTTCTTGATTTTTTTTGTCCCCAGGCCTTCACATCTTTTCCTTTGAGACAGCTGAGAGCAAAGGTACTGTGGCTGAAAGCAGGTCCCATGATGTGCAGCCACCTGCTAGTTGCTTAGGGCCATAGCAGTAAGGAACCTCGGAAACTCAGGGTCAAATCCTTACACAGCCATGAAACTCAATGGGTGACCTGAACCAGTCATGTGATGTGTTTAATTTGCCACAGTGTGACTGTGAGGATGATGTGGGGACGATGCTGACGCTCTGAGAAAGTTCCTTGGAGAAAAACAGGACAATTCTTGTAGTGGGGAACCTGAGTTGGGTCTGAAGCAAATCAACGCCTCTCCTTTTCAACAATTAAGGAAGGAGCCAGTTTTTTAATGAAAGATTTGGTACAGTCTGTTAACTGATGGATTCTACTCTTAACTAGGGCTGTCAGCTGGTCAAAGATTTGTTTAGTCATCTGTCCCTTAATTGACTACTTGATCAATTGAACTCACATACTCAATAAGGGTCCAGTTTGACATTTGTTGTATGAGAGCGCTTTCCTTTTAACAGTCACATTCCAGGATAAAGTGTGTTTTTATCCTTTCTATAGTGATACAGCAGAACAAAAAACAGCCTTCGCAAATGAACAAAGTGCTTTTAGGTGGCTTCTGACTCCTCTTCCTCTGTGGCGCAGGACCTGCTGCAGAGTTCTTCCTTCCTATACTGCCATGGTGGCATGAACACTGTGGGAGGAGCCAGTGCAGCAATTTCTCCCACAACAGTGTGAACCTAGTTTTTCCAGGGAGGATCTTAGCTGGGAAGGACCCTGCAGTGTGGGCTCCTCTTGTGTGGTCTGGGCCATTTCCTCTTAACCCAGTAGCAGAGAAAAGAGCAAGGGCTGCTGTGGCTGCCATATTGCCAGTGGTAATGTACTACTGATGTTACAGCTTGCGAGCCTCAGTTATAACACGTAGAACCTTTTGAGTGCCTTAATCTTGCCCGCTTTGAATTCTGCCTTCCCTGGTGTACAGAGTGGTGGGTGGATGACAAAATAGGAAGCCTAGTGTTAGCTATACAGTCCTGGAACTGCCAGTTGATTTTTAGAATGTATTTATTTATTGACTTTTCTGCCCAGTGAGGGATGCAAAGTGGCTAATGTCGTTGTTCATTTGTTCACTCCCACGCTACTGTCCCTGGTGCTTTCTGAGAACTGAAAATATTGACTTGAGTGATGGTGGGAAGTGGCTAAAACCATTAAGTCCTAACTGCACCACTAGATCTAAAACCTTGGCTGTGCTTCTGTTTCAGGAAGAGGAGGGGAGCTTTCAATTCCAAACAGCTGCTTTACCTTGAGAAATACCGACCGAAGATGCGATTGCGCTTCAGAGATGCCAACGGTCACTGCATCGTGCAGTAAGGGGGAAGTCCTCTGAAGTTGTTTTGATGCTATCATGGCTGTCTTTCTGGACTCGTGGAACCTGAAAATGTAATTCTGGAATTGAACGACATCCTCGCCATGGCAGTGGAGTTGGTGCTCCTCAGCTGTTGTCCTAATGATGATGATTGTGATAAAAAAATAAAATTAAAACTAAACATTTTGGTGAAGAATTGTCTTCTCATGTTGCAGTCTGATCATCTGCCAAGAGAAATAGAGTTCCTAGAGCCTTCTGTATTTTTAACTTTTTGGAGAAAAAACCTAATAAAATCAATTTTATGTCTCAAGAAAAACGGGAGTATCAAGGTTGTGCATATATCATAATTGAGTGAAACAGCATCCCTCGGTTAGGTCCTGGTATGGGGATTAGTTTTGGTATTTTAATGGTTGCTTTCTTTCCTTGTGCTGGCAGGCAGAATTGAAGTGATGTCTTTGTAGCTGTAGGTGAGCAGTCAGCAGCCTTAAGCTCAAGTGGATGAGTTCAGAAATAGTGGTTTGTATGTCCAGTTTGCAGCTGACAGGATGTTTGTGGTAGTTAGGCTTACGAACATGCTGGGTGAATGTCCTTTATCTTACCTGGATGATACTTTTAAGCATCATTCATCTTCCAGATAAGCACCTGGCCTGCTGAGATGAGGGTAAAATAACTTTGTGACTCCTTGGTGCACTCTTGGAAATGATGAGGATTGTTACCCTTGCTTAAAACTAGAGCTGTAGCCCCTGTGATTGTCTAGGCGTCCAGATTATGCGATTGCAGATGTGGTCCTCCGTGCTAAAATGCTGCCTACAAATGCATTGCTTTTAAGAACTTGGTCTAGAAGTTAACCTGCAAAATTGGGCAGACGTGTATTACAGTGTCCAGGTAAGCAGCATATTTAAAAGGTTGCCTTTATCCTACAGGCCCTGTGCTTGCTGTCTGGATGATCTTTGCCTCTCTCTGTGTGGAATAAACTTGAATGGAGGCTATTTTGAATAGGGCTCTGTGCCCACTTGACATTTGTCAAATGCATAGGCACCCTCCCCGCCTCATGTTTAGTTCCTGCTCACCACTGGTTGGCGCTTGTTCTGGCCTTTTCACCAGGTCCTTAAGGGAGATTGCTGGTTACACACTGCTGTTTTTAGGGTGTGTTGTGTAGGAGGATAGTTGCAAGAGGACATTGCATGTAGGCCAGCAAGACAAGTGTTTAATTTTAGAGTGGGTTTGTAATATTTCCAGTTTCCATAGAAGCCCATATCCCTTTTCTTTCAATTCTCAGCATTTTTCAGGATCAAAATTCTTTTGCCCTTCAGACTCACACAGATTCAAGCATCAGCTCTTTAGTAGGCACAGACAAGGCTGATAAACTTTCCATTATGGAGGACACCATGTAACCTTCCCAATACAATAAGGTATAAAATTGGCTTTTGGCTAATACAGCCCCAACATTTCAAGTCTAGAAAACAAATCATGGACCATCGTTTCCATGTGTGCTTAAATTACACCTATTTCTGATGGGTACTGTGCCAATCAGTCCAGTTTTGGATGGTTAACATATTTAAGTCGAAAACCACAATTCTTTTTGTCTAAAATATATATATTGGGGGAGGGTTGTGGCGCTGTTACTTATACACACAATTAGGGGCAGGAACTGCAGTTCTGCATAAAAGTGCTTATCTAGAAATGTGGCCCTGGATAGCAAACACAAGGTTGGTACTTGCCCAGTGTACAAATACAAATTGTTCTTTTTTTTTAATACAGATTTTATTAGTTTCATAGAAAGATACTACAGAAAAACAAAAAGACATAAACAGAATAGAAAGCATCTAACAGAATGGATACTATACTCATACATCAGCTTAAGTTACAATGTAATTATAGACTCGTCTTCTATGCCGTGTCTGTAAGGTTTTTGTTGAGATTTATGATTTAAGTTCAAGATAATTTTGCATCCAATTATAAAACCTCGCCCATTTTCTTTCAAAGTTCCCTTCTTGTTTTTCGTGTAATTGTAACGTTAATTTGTCCATTTCTGCTGCATCTAACAGCCGGAAAATTAGTTCTTTGTCGGTGTCTCTCCTTTTTTCCAATATTTTGCGTATAAATTCTAGCTGTGGAAATACAAATTGTTCTTGTAAGTAGGTTCTGATTTTTACAAAATTTAGAATGTGTCATTTTTCTGTTGTGCGACAAGACCTAACTATGGCTAAAACTGCTGCAGCTGAATGGGAAAAAAAATCCCTCAACATAATAGAACCTTTTCTTTAAAAAGAAATCACTTTTATATATAAGTTCATTCTTCCCCTTCAATTTTACTTTGTATTATAGTATATTAGATTGTATTTCAACATCAACAGAACTGAGAAAGCAGGGCTGTTTCTTAATGCACAGGGGTGCACATTCTGTCAGAGTAGAAATGTCAGAGCTTCATTGTCGGAGGGCTCAACAGGCACAATTTCTGGTTCAGCACTTGGAACATGGTGCAATAAAGTTCTTACCTGTATAAAGTCTCCTTTCTGCTTCTCAGTGAATTTGTTACAACCACAAGCTGTGGTGGTGCATATAAGGGCAGAAATATGACAATGGCTTTTCTGAATAGACTGTTTTGTCCTGTTCATATTTTGCTCCTTCAGGAAGTACAAACACAGAAACACGTATGTATGTGATTTGATTTCCATGTCTGGCCTGGTGAATGAGGTGTACTTGATTGGATGTCTTGTTGGAAACACTTTCCAGCAAATGGCATAGTTACTTCTCCACTGTGAAGCATATAGGAAGCACATGTGGGATTTGCTCAGAGTTTCAGAATTATCAGTGATCTTATTTGCTCAGTAACCAGCCCCTTTGCTCCAGTGCTGAGCCTGAAGAACCAAGGGGAGAAAAAACAGCAACCTGTATTTGGAGCTTAGTATTTGGAGTATACTGTGAGACTGCAGCTGAGAACACCAGCAGGAGCGTGCTATGAGGGATAAAAAGGAATTACATTGCACGGGGCCTTGAGTTTGAAAGGTAGTTTCCCTTGCTTGAAAGCTAGTTGACTCCGACACTAGGGATGCATGCTCATCTCTGTTTTGAAGCTGAAGAGTCAGTGCTGTCCAAAGACATTTCCATGGTCATATGGCCGGCATGACTAGATGCCAAGGCGCACGAAACACTGTTTCCTTCCCGCTGAAGCGGTACCTATTTACTTGCAATTTCTTGCTTTCGAACTGCTACGTTGGCAGGAGCTAGGACCAGAGACGGGAGCTCACTCTGTCATACGGCACTCGGTTCTCGAACTGCTGAACTACCGACCTTCCAGTCAGCAGTTCAGCGTCTTAACCACTTGAGCCACCGCAGTTTGTAGGACATTACAAATGTGCATATGGTGGACTGTGGAGGTTAGATTTGCCAGGATGTAGAGAGCTGGAATTAATTGCAGCCTCTCCAAGGCAATGTGGTGTCTTCACATGATATCAAGGAGGGACAGGAGACACTTGCCATTAGTGACTTGAAATGTCACATATTTGTGGATGGTGGTCTGAATAGACTGAGCAGTGAATGAACAAGGCACAAGAATGATTTGGTCAGTGTGTAGCCATATCCTCTTCCTAAATCATTATCTGAAGAAGTGAGCAGTGACTCACGAAAGCTTGTTCCCTGCCACATGTTTTGTTAGTCTTTAAGGTGCTACTGGACTTTTGCTCTTTTCTACCGCTAAAGACTAACACAACTACCCATCTAAATCATTATGGCTCCTCTTTTGTGTCCTTAGAAAAACATTAGCTAATCTGGAAGCATGGAAGCAGTTTGAAATGCTACCTAGTTGTGGGGGATGGGGGTGGGGTAAGGTTGCCAGATCCAGGTTGGGAAACAGAGGTTTGGAGGTGGAGCCTGGGGAGGATAGGGACCTCTGGGGTACAATGCCATACAATCCACCCTCCAAAGCATCCATTTTCTCCGGGGAACTGATCTCTGTTGTCTGGAAATGAGCTGTAATTTTGGGGGATCCCCAGGTTCCACTTGAAGGTTGGCATCCCTATGAGTGTCTTGTGCTTATTATAAGGAGCATATCCTGTTCTCACTCCCCTGCACAACGTATGGATGCAGCTTCAAGGCACTAGATCCAACTGAAAATACAGCATTTGCAGATTTGAATAAAAGAGAATGAGTGGCAAAAGACCATGATGTGTAAAGGCAGCTAAAGGGTGGGGTGGTTTGTCTCCTGTCATGACTGCAAGCCAGCACAGGTCCAAGAATTTCAGTCCATTAGGTTAGCTGCCCCCTTGCCTCAGGTCAGTGATGTCATTAGGCTGGAACAGAGGAGAACACATCCATAATACTCTGGCAGGTGGCACCAATAGGATGCTACACCACAGTCCCCTGTGTGCATGCATCTTCAGTGGCCCCAAAGAGCTCAGTTTTGAATATTCAAAGTATTTAAATAACCTCTGTTTTTGAAATGTGTAGAGACTTTGGTTGTGTATTCTGGTGTAATACAAATTATAGATCTGTTTGGATCAATTTGTTCCCGGGAACTGTTGAGGGAGCCTGATGTTAAAGGTGAGAATTTAATTTCATCTTGATGAAATACTGCTTGGAAAGAAGAGAGGCCTTTCTCTGCCAAACAGATTTAATCTGGTCAGTGGCAGTTCAGTTGCAAACTCCCTCCCCTCAGCTGTGATGGGAAGAATTTATTTTTAAAACTTTACAGGTACCTTGCAGCATTTATAGCTGCACTTAACACACCTCCCCACCCAGCAGTTTACACTGTGTGGATTTCTTTCCTCTCAAAGGTGTGTCACTCTTTCATCGACTGTTTACTGCACCAAGCAAATCAAGTAGAGAGAAGCAAAGGTTTTTAAGGTTCAGATGGAAACGGATGTTTGAGGAAAGCTGCCAGTCTTTTCTAGAATCCAACAGGTGGAGCAAGGTTGCCAAGGCTATGTGGAGTTGCCACCAGAACAGGGGTGGGCAATTTGGCCTGACAGCCTCATCTGGGTGTTGTACACTTTTGAACGTGCAGAGTTTGATGTAAGTTCCTCTTTTCCCCATTGCCAGGAGTTCCAGTAGCAGAAATGAGGCAAGCCCTGCAGTGGTTTGTCATTGCCCTCCTCTGCGCAGTAACCCTGGAATTTGTTCCCTGGACCAAGTTCCTTGGTCATCTCCAGTGTTCCCTCTAAGCTGAGTTAGTGTGAGCTAGCTCAGTTTTTTAGCCTCCGGCTCACACATTTTTGTCTTAGCTCAGGAAGCATGGCTCCAAAGCAAACTAATTTATGCAGTAGCCAAATCGCTCACTCACATCTGCCAGTAGCTCACAAAGTAGAATTTTTGCTCACAAGACTCCACAGCTTAGAGGAAGCATTGATTGTCTCCCATCCAAATACTAACCAGGGCCAACCCTACTTAGCTTCCAAGATCTGACAAGATTGGGCTAGCCTGGGCCATCTAGGTCAGGGGAAAACCACCAGATAGCCCTAGAGAAAGTCCCAAGCACTGCTGAGGTCTTGCACGGTTACGAGGGATGGCCATCATGCATGCTGAGCAGCTATTCCAGACTTTAATCATTTCACTTACCACTGTCCCACAAGGCCAGCCCTCCCCTGGATTCATGAGTCCACTGCTGCTGCCTGCTACTATTCATCCCTATAGCTGGGGCTCAGTGGTTCTTTGTCCTCATCCTGGGCTGTTTGTGCAAAGCACTCCCTTTTCCAACCAAGTACCTCTCTTTAGGGTTCCCAACAACAAAGACCCCCTAATCTGTATTTTATGTGCATATGACATGAGGCCAGAAAGATCTAGCCCAGGGGTGGCCAAACTTGCTTAATGTAACAGCCACACAGAATAAACGTCAGATGTTTGAGAGCCACAAGACATGAACAAATATTACACACGTTTTTATTGAAAAATATGCAAATTTGCTTTTTATTAACATTAAATTAGACCATGTGAAAGAGCCACATGCGGCTCCCGGGCTGCAGTTTGGCCACCCCTAATCTAACCCCATGTCACATGCCCTATCATTTGATACACGGGTGTCCTAGCGGCAATCTATACACTGCTTAGGAGGGTTATGGCTGGCTGCAGACTTAGGGAGCAATCCTAAGGAGGTCTACTTGGAATTAAGTCCCATTTTATTCAGGGAGGTTTTACTCCCAGGAAAACATTTTAGGATTGCAACTCTCATTTGGTATCATAAACTGTACCATAGCTGTGTAGGCATGGTGGGGGACAAGACTTTGTTACTCCCATGGAGTTCAATGGCAATGTTTTTACTTACACCAGCATTTTTGCCAGAGGCAGGACCTGGGCTGGAAGGGTTAGAGAGTATCAATCAAGCCCCCTAGCACACATGCACACACATACCAGCACTCCCCAGTGGTGTTCATTTTTCAGCCACCCTGGGGCACAGTCACATCAGTTCCTGCTTTACATTGGAACAGTGTCATCAGGGCACTACAAAAGCATATCTCTAGATATAATATCTCCCCTTTAGACTGACACAAGGCCAGATTAATGGCTGGGTTTAGGATTGTTCTGTCAAACACCTGCATAGAACACTCCTGCTCCACTCTTGGCCCTGTCATTCCAGTTCCAGAACACTCCTGGTACACCCCGGGGCTGTCATTCCACTCCATGGCCTGTCATCCCAGTGCCTGAACACTCCTGCTCTACCCTGGGGCCGTCATTCCACTCCGTGGCCTGTCATCCCAGTCCCAGAACACTGCTGTTCCACCCTGGGGCCGTCATTCCACTCCGTGGCCTGTCATCCCAGTCCCAGAACACTGCTGTTCCACCCTGGGGCCGTCATTCCACTCCGTGGCCTGTCATCCCAGTCCCAGAACACTGCTGTTCCACCCTGGGGCCGTCATTCCACTCCGTGGCCTGTCATCCCAGTCCCGGAATACTCCTGCTCCACCCTGGGGCCGGCATTCCACTCTTGGCCCTGTCATCCCAGTCCCTGGACACTCCTGGTACACCCCGGGGCTGTCATTCCACTCTTGGCCCTGTCATTCCAGTTCCAGAACATTCCTGATATACCCTGTGGCTGTCATTCCACTCCGTGGCCTGTCATCCCAGTGCCTGAACACTCCTGGTCTACCCTGGGGCCGTCATTCCACTCCGTGGCCTGTCATCCCAGTCCCAGAACACTCCTGTTCCACCCTGGGGCCGTCATTCCACTCCGTGGCCTGTCATCCCAGTTCCTGAACACTTCTCTTACTCCCAGGGGCTGTCATTCCACTCCGTGGCCTGTCATCCCAGTCCCAGAACACTCCTGTTCCACCCTGGGGCCGTCATTCCACTCCGTGGCCTGTCATCCCAGTTCCTGAACACTTCTCTTACTCCCACGGGCTGTCATTCCACTCCGTGGTCTTTCATTCCATCCTCAGAGTAGTCTATTTGGGCCCAGAAACCCTAATGGAAAATCCATTCCGCATTTTTATTGCAATCTACTTGTACGCTAATGTTTTCCAATGGAGCCCATGCAAGTCA